TACTTACTATATATATATATATATATATATAATTCTGTGTGTGTGTTACAATTGATTACATAATTTCTAAGTATTTGGAAACGTTCGTCCGCCTCTAGCGTCTAAAGTCACACATTGGAAATTAAAAAGTACTATTCAGCTTTGGAATCATAGGGTAAACAAACTATCCTGCCTAGTCCTGAAGTTATAATAAATAATTTCAACACTACTTCTATTCCAGCACTGCACAGGCAAAAAGGGTTTGGTTTGAGTTTTTATTTCGAAATGTGCAAAACTACAAACAAAATGTCTATATTACTATGTTTTTGAATTAGTGCCCTCGTGTCAAATGTTTAAAGTGTGGCAGTATTCACTTAACCCCGCTGTTTTGTTATTTTTGTTGCAGGAGCGCCTCCTGGTTAGAGTTCAACAGCTGGAAATCAGGCTTTACGCATTTCTCTCTTTTTTTTAACATTATTCAAAACGATCTTGGATTATCAGCATCTGAATATGTTATCTTTATTAGGTTTGAATATTATAATAATTTAACGCTAAGCTTTTAAACTTGGAGTAGAATCTAGAGGGACAGTAATTTCAAGGTGCATTGAAGTTTGTTAGTACCTTCGGAGTTTGGTTTGAGTTTTTGTTTCGAAATGTGCAAAGCATAAGCTACTCGAAGAAGCTCAAAACATTTCCATGGAAAAGCATACAAATACACTGGAAAGTTCTTCTAGATTAGATCATATATTTACTAACCATATAAAAATATTTATGGATTATTTTATAAAGATAGCAAAAAGGTGAGGCTATGATACAAAATAAATGTAAGAGACGTGTGTGACTGACACCATTCATGTACACCGAATTTTATAAGTAAATTCATCACTATCTTTGGGGCAAAGTCCTCCTAACAACAAAACTGCCCAATCAAAACAAACACGAGTTATCATTCAGAATTTATTGAGATCTTACGCAAATAAATATCAGTACTGTAAACAAATGGTAGTAGACAGTGACTCTCAAGAACACGTGAAATATATCTTGTAGGGCTCCTCAGTTCCTAAATACAATAAAAGGTATCAGTATTTAAATGTTAAGATGATATTGTTGCATTGAACTAAATCTTTGTGACGCATCAAATGAAAAAATATTAAAAATTAATACACCAGTTCAGTTTGTATCATCTTTCTTCTGATGGAGTATTAAATCTCTGAAACAGCATACGTAATAAAATATTAATGTGAAACTCAGTTTATCATTGGTCAGTAAACCTTGATGCTTGGCTATGCCAGTTACTGGTATATGTTAGCCATAATCTTGGTCAGTAAACCTTGATGCTTGGCTATGCCAGTTACTGGTATATGTTAGCCATAATCTTGGTCAGTAAATATTGATGTTTGGCTATACAGGTTACTAGTATATGTTAGCCATAATCTTGGTCAGTAAACCTTGATGCTTGGCTATGCCAGTTACTGGTATATGTTAGCCATAATCTTGGTCAGTAAACCTTGATGCTTGGCTATGCCAGTTACTGGTATATGTTAGCCATATTCTTGGTCAGTAAACCTTGATGCTTGGCTATGCCAGTTACTGGTATATGTTAGCCATATTCTTGGTCAGTAAACCTTGATGTTTGGCTATGCCAGTTACTGTGTAT